AGAAGTGACTCAATGCAGAAAGCAGAGACAAACTGACTCAATAAGTACCAAAGGGTAAGTGCACATCCACAAGGCGAGGGGATAGGCTGAAGGCTTGGCAAGATTATACCAACTCTAGCATCAAATCTTGGTCAACGACCTTGGCCAACGTCGATCCAACTTCGTCAACGCCCGATCAAACTTCACCGGTCTCAACTTCTTTGACCTTCAGCTATGTCTGCCAACCCTTCTCCTTCGCCAACTTTTCTCTCTCTTCTAACCCCTTCTATCTTCTTCTTTGCCCACTTTGGCTATGGTTTCCTTCTTCCTCCATTGTCTCTCCTTCCTCCTCTTGTTCTTTGTCACTCCCGGTCTCCTTCTTTGCAAGGACCAAGCTTGGCGGCTATGGCCGCCACCTTCTTCATTGTTGCACAACCAATCATCTCTCTCTCTCTCTCTCTCTCTCTCTCTCTCTCTCTCTCTCTCTCTCTCGTCGTCGTTTTTCTCCTTCTTGCAAATTCGAGCTTGGCGGCTATGGCCGCCCTTTCTCAACTTTCCCCAACGGCCTTCTTCTTCACGGTGTTGCGGCTCTCCTCCTCAGGTAGGCGGTCTTCTTCTCTAACGTTGCAACTCTCCTCTTAGGTGCGTGTGGCGGTCTTCAGTCACGGCCAAATAGCGAACATGTGCGCTTTATTAACAACAGGCGTGCAATCGGCCTCGATGCTTAACAAAGACTCACAGCAGTTGACAGCACGCAAGCGGGGTGCAGCGGGCGTGCACTTTCAATAGTGGCGGCGACGGCGCGTTGTGCAACTCGACGCGTAGCTAGTAGCGGGCGCGCGTAATGACAGGCAGTGCGAGATAAGCAGCAGGGGGGGGGCACTTGATTGGCGGCAACTAGCGGCGCGCGTGATGACAGGCAGTGCGCGATAAGCAGCAGGGGGGCGCACTTGATTGGCGGCAACTAGCGGCGGAAATAACGAGGAGCGGGCACAAAGCTTGACGTGCTATCTAGCCGCGAGATGAGGAGGGCAGCAAACACGCCTTATACACATCTAGATGTGTATAAGAGACAGGACAGGCAGTGCGCGATAAGCAGCAGGGGGGCGCACTTGATTGGCGGCAACTAGCGGCGGAAATAACGAGGAGCGGGCACAAAGCTTGACGTGCTATCTAGCCGCGAGATGAGGAGGGCAGCAAACACGCGATTAGAATGGCAGAGCTCACGATTACGAGCGACGGAAGCAGCAGGGGGGCGCACTTGATTGGCGGCAACTAGCGGAGGAAATAACGAGGAGCGGGCACAAAGCTTGACGTGCTATCTAGCCGCGAGATGAGGAGGGCAGCAAACACGCGATTAGAATGGCAGAGCTCACGATTACGAGCGACGGAAGCAACAGCGGACGAGCGCGCGGTGTGGAACAGGGTGCACCCAATAATCAACGGGGCGCACAGTGCTGACGTGGAGCCTCAACTGGGGCCTCTTTCTCTCCTCGTCGGACGACACGCGGTCTGGGCGCGAGGTGCCCCCTCTCTCTCTCCACCTATGGTGCTGACCTGGTGCACTCCACGTGATGACGACGATCGTTGTTGCCGAACAGCGGGAACTAGCTCTGATACTAATGCAATCAGACTTGTTCAGATCTTGCTTCAGTGTGCATACAAACAGATGACGATCACAATGGCACGTAGCGCCCACATAAAGCTCAGAGATAACGTGGCCAAGAACACAGTTCAGATTCAAACTTGACTCGATCGGCTATGGCGCCTGAGCGCTAGGCAAAGATTCTCCCCCTATCAACTGTTTTCCCAGCAACTTATTCGCATACTCGCAACTCTGAATCTCCCTGGATGTCCCGCAGATACAAACACAACACACACTGAGCACCGCACTGACTAACATACTACAGCTAACCTACGCGCAGCTATGGCTGCCATCTTCTACCCTCTACTGCCACAAGCGGCTATGGCCGCGTCTTCCTCCTCTTAGCCCACTTCTCCTACGGCACCTGCAAAACACTCGGACAGAGCTGCCGCACGGCTCACAGGCAAAATGAATGAATGACTTGACGCTGCCTCTTTTGTCCTTGGACCTTGGGCCGGGGGTATGGACAGTCCCACATGATACCTGGTAACTGGACAAAGTTTGACTTAGGACTGGGCACTGCTGACTAGGCTAGGCAGGATTGGAACTACCCTTTGCTGACTGTAGTAGGACTGTCCTCTGCTGACTCAGACGCGGTCTGACTCTAAGACTCGACGAAAGGCCACTTCCGGAAGGTCCGGAAGATCGTAGACTTGACCCTTCGATACTGTAGCAGCTACGACCTTGACCCTTCGACATTGTAGCAGCTGCGGCCTAGACCACTGCTATGACTCCTAAACAACAAACCTACAGCTCAAGACCCGGCAACCAGAC